TTCAGGGCAGCCCTGGGCTGCCTGCCATTTTGAGCACAGCCTAGCAGATTTTCTTCCTTTAATAAAGCTTGAACAGTACCTGGCATGTCGGCTCACTTTCTTTCAATCTCAACAGTGAATACCACCCATATGGAGTTAAGACATTTTATTTGAACTTTTATTTGATATGTGGTTCAGTAGTATTTAACACAGAATGTTAAAAATTAAGATAGGTATTAAACCCTTTTAAAAATATAGGTAAGGAATTTTCCCAGAAAACTACACAAAGACAAAAATTTTGCACACCATTTCAAGACTACTATGGGACCCCTTAAAGTCCATTCATGAATCCTCATGTAAGCACATGTGAAAATACCAAAACGATAGAGAATGATGATAGAAAAACCAACAGCAATGGTTAGCTGAAACAAAAGACTGGGAATTCCAAGGTGTGTGCTATGGTCTGAATGTCTGTCCCTTTCAAAGCTCATGTGGGAGCTTGATTCCCAATGTGGCAGTATTGAAAGGTAGGGCCTTAAGAGGTTGTTGGATTGTGAGAACTATGCTCTCATATCCATTCATGCAGTAATGGGTTAATAGTTTAACAAGTTATCACAAGTTTGGACTGCTGGCTATATAAGGAGAGCAAGTGAAAACGCAAAAACCCTCTCACCCAGCCCTCACCATGTGATTTGCCTGTGATTGCCTGTGTCACCAAGGGACTCTGTAAAGAGTTCCCACCAAGATGAAAGCCCTTACTCTGAATCCTGGCTTCCCAGCCTCTAAAACTAAGAAATAAATTTCATTTTCTTGTAAATTACCCTTTCAGGTATTTTACTATAAGCAACAGAAAACTAATACAACGTGAAAATTGTTCGACTTCTGAATAGTGTTTTTAGTTTCTTTTGTTTTCTCTTGATCAAAGCAGATTCTTGGATTACCCACCCTCACAACCGAATACGTGCAACATAATTTCAAAACTTTTTCTATAACTTGAGTCCCAAGCCATCTTTCTTTGCATTTCTCCCTGCTTCCAGACACCTGAGTCCTCAAAAGCTGCCTTACTTCTGCCCTACCTCAATTTAGAACTCAAACCTAGTTGCTTCACCGTTTCCTACACCCCCAAAATAAGAAAAAATCAACCCCCAAATTAAGTTTACTAGAGAAAACTTCTGAGATTTTGGTGAGGGAAAAGAGAGTAATGTTATAAACTGTGTCATTCTGCCACCCTGCTGACACCACTACCATTTATCTCTTTCTGTTTCTTGCTCCCTTTGTCTGGTCTTAACAAGCCAACTCTTCTCCTTAACACTGCAAAAATAGTTCCTTCTACAATCAGGTCTCCTCAGTATTTTACTTTGCACCCCAAAGACCTTCACAAATAAATACAGTTCCCTTTGTAAATGGAATGCTGGTGAACAAAATTTTCTCCAACTTATAATACCTATTAATTGTAGAAATTTTTAGTAATACATTTTAAAGAAGAAAAATTAAAAGAATAGGTCATTACACCGCCCACGAATAACTGATGTTAATATTTTGGTATGGGTTCTTCTAGTTTTCCCCTGTATGGTCAACAATAAATTAAAATGGAATCCTCACTTCTATCCCAATTTGTCAAAATGGGAATGAGGGGTCTCAGATAGCACCTCCTTTGAAATGTATTTTTTAAAAAGCAAAAGGAGGAATTCCGCACCAAAACTTTTACACACCATCTCTATTACTCATACCAATGATCACTTGAATCTGGTTAAATCCTTTCAAGCTTAAAAATATACTTCCAAAGTACTTCCATAAACTGGTGTCAACACTGCAGTATGAATACAGGCCAATTTTTTTTTGTAGACCTTTGCTAACTTATAATAAATTCTCAGAAGCTATCAAAAAGAGATTACTCCTTTAAAGATCCCACTGGAGTAAAATCCCATAACTATAATAGTCATTCTCACTATGCTTTCTTATAATTATTGTTTCTAAAGTAAATTAAATAAATACATTACTCAAACAACTCTTCCTCCCACTGAAATATTTTTTAAAGGGAGTGAGGGTAAGGATACTGACCACCAAGAGAATCTGCTGAAATCCTACCTCTAATGCATAAGACAAAGACATTAGAGAAAGGTATTTGGACCTTTATCACTCTACTGTAAGTATTTCACTTCAAGTATCTCTGACCTGAAAAGTTAGCTTTTAATCTTCAATGACTTTGCTCACACTAAGTTCTGACACAACATTTGCCTATCACTTGAACCTTTACATTTTCCATCTTCAAATTTCATAGATTATTTAAAAAGGGGAGAAATGTTTTCTCTTTTCTTACAGATGTACTTTAACTTTCACATGTGGTCTATCTCCCATAATAATCAAGACAGTAAACACTATGAAAATTCCTTTTGCCCCCAGATAAGGTGAGCTTTAAATATTAAAGTAAACCACATTACTTTGGCATTTAAGTAAAGTGCATTTTGCTTAGAAAATCAAGCAACCTTTTCAAACAAATACTCCCCTTTAGTGTATTAATAGCAAATTTTTTTAAGAGTTTAATAATATTTTCCTTATAGGATTGAGGGAGAAAAAGAAAGGCATTACGAATTCCACCTATGTTCAAAAGAAGGAAAAAGGTTGTTGGTACTAAGACTCTAATGACACTCTAGCTCTGGTAGACAACACTGCATGTGTGTTGTCATGGCGGAATTAAGCACATCTGGGTAATTCCATAAGAGATGACTCCTGGAAGCTAGTGCCTGGATTCCTCCACACTTCATCCCAAGTACTTCTTCCCTTTGCTAATTTTGCTTTGTATCCTTCTCACTGTAACAAATCAGTCCATGAGTATGGGGGGGGAAAAAAAAAAGGGAAAAAGCTACAATAAACAATCTAAACACAAATTTTCATGTCTATTTTTATAAAGTATTTAACTTTTCTGGATCAAATAACAATTTGTATATAAATCTGGCTCTTTAATAAATACACATATGTAGGGCCGGCCCGGTGGCGCACTGCGCTAGTGCGCCGCTTGGGAAGCGCGGCAGCGCTCCCGCCGAGGGTTCGGATCCCACATACAGACCAGTTCCCGCTCACTGGCTGAGCAAGGTGCGGGGGCAACACCGAGGGTTGCGATCCCGTTGCCGGTCCCGGTCCAGTGCGGGGACGACACTGAGGGTTGCGATCCATTGCCGGACATGGAAAAAAGACAAAAAAAAATAAAAAATAAAAAATAAATACACATATGTATATTAGACTCTTGGGCAAAAAAAAAAAAAAAAAAATCTAAGACTCTATAGCTGATTCAAGCCTATTCCTGTAGGGCCAAAGGGAGTTTAGAAAAGAGAGACCAAGATTAGGAAGGCAAATTCATACAACTTCAAATGAACCTTTCCAAGGAGATCCTAATAATACTCTCAAACCAGCCCAGAGGATACTATACAAATTTAGCTGTTAATTTTAAAAGAAAAGTTTTAATTTTTTTTTGTTACTTATAAAAACTTTATGAAAATACATTCATACCAAGAAGATATAGTATTCATATT